AAAAAAAAAAAAAAAAAAAGTCGGGGACAAGCTGGGCATGACGGGCTGGGGGAGGGCGCAGGTCACAACCTTATTCACAGTTCTTTGAATGACAATCTGCCTTATTGGCGAGACCAGCGACAAGTCTGATGCGGAAGCTACTTGCGTTAACAGCGGGGAGGTCTACTCAGCACTTTCTGTTCTATTCTGGCGACAGTGACGCCAGCTCCCACTCTAAGCCTGACCTGGCTGGGACGCGCTAACTGCCTGTGTGGCAGCGGAGGCCGTCTGTGCACCACCAGCACTCGATTCACGCACAGTCATTCTGTCAGGCTTCTCCACGAGCATCTTCGCAACCCACTCAGGAGGGGACTGGAAGGGCTGGATCGGGACAGTGTTTTAAATGAGCGCGCTGCAAGCCTTCCATGCCAACCAATGGCAGCTGCAGAGAGCCTGAGTCTGCCACCGCCAGTGCAGCCACCCGTGCCTCCGCTGCTGGTCTGCCCACCTTGCAGCAAGGGCCCCGGATGAGGCCCCACCCCGCCCCACGCAGCACGCGGGGCCAAGCAGCACTGCCACGCACAGCCTGAGAATGCCGGCTCATCATGAAAAGCAGTTTGGAAACTGAGCGGCAGAGAGTGAAGAGGACCTAAAATACAAATACCTAAACGAAAATCGAGGTCTGAATTTTTTGAACATTAAGAAAATGCTTTCAAATAATATAACTATGTGTTAGAGAAAAATAACAGCAACAAACAAACCAGAGACCTACAGATAGGGTTTTCTAGGTACTTACCAGACTTTAGGGTAAATGTGTAATCTAGCCCTCAAATTCCTTATTTTTAAAAAATAAGATGACAACATGAATACATTAAAATTGTTTTTTAGAATTTTCTCCAAAACCGATTCTATATTTGAAAATTTTTAACCCTCAGCATACCAGGAAAACCTGTTTATCATTTATCATGAGTCCAATGGACCGTTTAAAAACTATTTTTCAGTATTTTAAGTTACTTTCAAATAATTTACAGGATAAAACCAACTCTTGGAACTCAGTTAAAAAAGGGAAAAGACATTTCTCCAAAAGCTCATGATAAAATGTTCAACATCAATGTCATTAGGGAAATTCAAGTCAAAATCCCAAAGATACTACTTTATACCCACTAGGAAAGCTAGAATAAAAAAGACAATAACACATGTTCACATGTTTGTGAAGATATTGTTGACGGGAATGTAAAATGGTACAGCCACTTTTTAAAAATTTGGTATTTCCTCAGAATGTGAAATACTGCACAGAGTTAACATATTATCCTCAATATATGTCTAATAGAAATAAAAGCATATGTCTACACAAAACATGTACATGAATGCTAAGAACAATATTATTCAGACAGCCCCAGAAAAGAATTGACTTGACCCATCAAGTGACAGGTGGATAGACAAAATGTGGTATATCCATACCATGGGTTAGTATACAGTCATAAAAAGGTATGAATAGACTGTATCAATGATACAGTCTGCACTATGGTGAACTCTTGAAAACATTACGCTAAATGAAACCAGTCACAAAAAATACATTAACTGTAATTCCATGTAATTTAAATTTTTTCATATCATTTAAATTATAAAAGGGTCCTATATACTCATGCAAAGATATAATGAATGTTTTATCTTCAAAGATAAAATGAAGTAAATTTCCATGAAGCTTCTGAAGTTCTGAACCATTAACACTACATTGGGAAAGAGAAGGCAGTATGAAGATTCTAAGAAAATTTAGTTGTATCAGTTTGGAAAATTCTATACAGACTTCTTCTAAAAGAAATAAAAGCAAGTGGCCCTGTGGACACTATGTGTTTTTATTTTATTGCATAGCTACTGATTTTTAAAAAAATTTATTTATTTATTTATTTATTGGTTTTCTTCCAGTACGAGGAATCGAACTCACGACCTTGTGCTTGCCAGGCAGGTGCTGTGCTGCTGAGCTAAATCCCCAGCCCGCTACTGATGTTAAAGTGCCCCTTTGAGGTAGCTACAAGCCAACTACTCCCACAGACCAACAGCATTATGTTCTTAATGACCCGGCCTAAATGACTCACATGAATGCTTGAATGATCTGATACACTTTTAAGTTGGACATGCACTTTAATAATCACATTCAGTTAAGGAAATCAGTCCCATAATCTAGAGAGGAGACTAATTTGAAAAGACCAAAGTATATCATGCCCTCTTATTTTTACTAATGAGTATTTATTAGTTCATTTGGTTTCACTTTTTAAAGCTATAAAAGGAGAGCTTTAGTTTCATTTTTAAACCCAGACAAAAGGATGCAGCATAATCATCAAGGTAAAATAATTCAGTATTTTTAGGTTAAAAAAAAAAAAAAAAGCTCTTATCCCATTGTTACATAACTTCAAGCAGATACGCTTTGAAAAATGAATCTAACATGATTCTTACAAACACATGTAAGATCATTTCATAAGACTTCTTTTTTGATCCTAAGCCAATTCTGTCTTTTAGAGACAGGAAAAACAGAATGCACTTTTACTACTAATGGAATAAGATGAGAGTGTATGAATTTCTCATGTTTTAATGATGCTGTTTTGAGAATGCGGAGATGATATTGATCTCTCTAATTTCGACAATGACGGGCAGAAACTGAAAATCAATACCGCGCTGCTGTGCTGCCTAGCTGCGTAAGTGGCTCGCTTCCTCTGCAGCCACTTCCCGCTCCTGCTCTGAAGCTGTTGCCTCTCTCTAACTGTAATTTTTCCCCTCTGCCCTCAGTATCAGCAATGAATACGTATTTTATACTTTCCACCATCAGATATAAATAAGGCAAATATCAAGGTTTTTACATTTTAACGACCTTCACCAACCTCACTAGTGTCTCTCAAAAGATAATTCATGCTGGCGTTTATAAGTAAACTTGAATGAATTTTAACTTAAATATTAAATAATCAGAGATATACATAAAAACTCATACACAACAACGGTAATCTCGGCATCAAACAAATAAGCAAAAACCTGGAAACCACCTTCAATCTAATAAGAAATTAGTTACAAATAATAATGCTATATCCACCCAGTGAAACAATGATCATTAAAACTTATATTTTCCAAAAATAATGATATGTATAAGGGCTAATGTGGTAAGGAAAGAAAAGAGCATGTAAAATATGAGTCAAATTCTATTTTAAAAAATTCAAAAAATTTAAAATACACAATAAAAAAAATATATATATATTTTTGTCTTTTTTTTTTTTGAGACAGGGTCTCCCTCTGCTGTTCAGGCTGGCCGCGAGCTCACTTTGTAGCCCAGACTGGTCTCGAACTCGCAACGACCCTCCTGCCTCAGCCTCCCAATGATAGTCTGCACTATGGTGAACTCTGAAAACATTATGCTAAATGAAACCAGTCACAAAAAATACATTAACTGTAATTCCATGTAATTTAAATTTTTTCATATCATTTAAATTATAAAAGGGTCCTATATACTCCTGCAAAGATATAATGAATGTTTTCTCTTCAAAGATAAAATGAAGTAAATTTCCATGAAGCTTCTGAAGTTCTGAACCATTAACACTACATTGGGAAAGAGAAGGCAGTATGAAGATTCTAAGAAAATTTAGTTGTATCAGTTTGGAAAATTCTATACAAATTTCTTCTAAAAGAAATAAAAGCAAGTGGCCCTGTGGACACTTGTAATCCCAAATGCTGGGATTACAGGCGTGTGCCACCACACCCGGCGCACAATAAAATATTAATAGTTGTTTTCTGGATGTCTGCATGGGTAATTTTTACCTAAAAAACTGTTTTTGTTTTCATAGTTGTCACTGCACATGTGTAACTTCTACTGTAACATATATTTTTGTGTGTAATGTATTTTTAAACTTAAAATATCAAAAACTTTGTTCTTCTATTAAGTCATTCATAAATGTTTCTTTCCAGGTGATTTAGAATCTGATCAAATCAAATCACCAACGTCGAACGGCCACATTATTTTGTGCTTAATGCATGATCCACATACACTGAAGCAGCCCAAGACCTACCTGGTTTTTCTTCAGTTTTTTCAATAAAGTAAGGCTTTCTTTTCATTGTTTCTCTCAGTTCCTGTTTCAAGGCCAGCATGTAATCTTCACTCTCTCCTGTTTTCAGCGGCACTGGCTTATAATCTGTATCCTACTTAAAAGACAAATTTTTAAAACTCAATGTAACAATTTAACATCTCTTTTCTCTAAATTCTATCAAATGTCGATTTTATTGGAAAATTGTTTTATAGGCACTAAGCTTTGCAATTAACTTAAAGGAGGGGCTGGGAATTTAGCTCAGCGGCACAGTGTCTGCCTGCCAAGCGCAAGGTCGTGAGTTCGATTCCCAGTACCGGAAAACAAACAAACAAAAAAAACAATACAATTAACTTAAAGGAGTACCTCTGAGATCTCACTTTGAGTGCATTTCCTAGTTTACTTTTATTTCAGAGGCAGGAAAGATGTACAATTTTCCTACTGACACAAAAAAACCTATGGTGATAATCATTTTGCAATATTGTCTGTTGATTAATGTAATTCACATTTCAAAAATCAGGGTACCCATACGACAGAGACCACATTAGTGTCTGTTAACTTCAACCAGGTTATTGGTGGGAGCAGTAGCATGAAAGTAAAATAATAGCATCTCATCATTTAGCAAGTCGTCACTATAGCCAGGGTGTCTCACTACAGTATTCAACATCCACTATCTCATTCAAAGTATTACCAATATTTCCTAAAAAAAAAAGAAAACAGATGAAACAGTGAAGACATTGAGAAATGAACAGTGTGCAAGCCATATAATGAGCAGATGGCAAAGCAGGAGTTTGAAAATTCTACACATACATGTGTATGTCTGTGTCCATAATTATACACATATGCACTCATTAAAAAGTGGTTCCTGCTGGAGATATAGGTCAGCAGCACAGCGCCTGCCTGGCAAGTGCAAGGTCCTGAGTTCAATTCACAGTAAAAAAAAAAGGGGGAGATTCCCAGAGTGCACAGTAAGGATTTCTGGTTTCAGAGGTAAGGGCACATTTCCAAATGTGATTAGACTCTGGTCACCATTCCACAACTATTTACTGGACACAACCAGAGGCCAGGCGGGGTTAGACCACAGGCGAGTCCATGACGGCTGGTCAAAGCCTCTGCTCATGCAGAGCTTAGGAACACACAACAAACAAGCAAACCGCTGCAGTGAGGTGCAACCGCAGGCAGTGAGGAGCGATGTGGAAATGAAGGGAGGACAGGGCAGGCTGAGCACACAGTGCACGGAGGCTGGACGCAGCCGCTACGTGGCGTAAATGTGTGTGGCCCTGGGGAGGTCCCACTTGAGCAGCAGTCTGTCCCATTTGGACAAGAGCAGGAAGCTGCCCAGGCAAAGACTGGAGACCAGAGGAGGAAGCCAGGGGCGAAGGCCTGAGACAGCAAGGGGGCCAGCAGGGCTGGGACAGGGAGGGAGAAAGGCTGAGCTGGGCAGGCCCGAGGCACCAACACCGCCAGTGTTCAGAGGTCATCTCCTCCCACATGGGGAAGAGACTGCTTTGAAAGAAATGACCGCAAAGGGTGATGTACACGTACCACAGCATATGCTGTACTGAGCATCACAAAGCAGAATATCAAGAGCAAAAACAGACACCCCCTAGTGAACATCTGCATCACACTTGTTCAGCCCTCTACCAATATCAGTCCTTCAGCAAAGGACTCTCCCGTTGGAAACAGGAGCAGGAGTCATGAAAAGACCAGGATCTTTGTTCCTTTTTTTTTAAACACCAAAGCATAGGCATATGTGGAAAGGCAAGCTTACCTCTCAAACTAAATGTAAAGCAAAAACAGGAGATATGCCAGATAGGTCTGCATCCTATCTACCGAATTTAAAAGCAATACCAAATGTAGTAGAAATGTTTACATTCTGAGAAACTAACAAAACTCAAAATGACTGATATAATAGAAAAAGAGCTAAAAATTTTGGTGGGAAAAATTTTCTAGCAGTATGCTAAGGAACAAAACTGAAGTTTATAGGCATAAGATGTGAAGAAAATCACTAGGTAAAAGTGTGGCAGAGGGAAAACTTCTGTCAAACCTACTATGACTCTAAAATACTCTGATACCTGAAACACATCAATAACAGCAATAAAAGATGGAAGAATTTAAAAATTATTGCTTCACACACTATAGTACTGAGTATATTCATGAGAAAGTGTATACAGTGTTCCTTTCTGTATTTTAAAAATTAGAAAAGATTCAAAGAATGATGGGAATATTTACATTAAAGGTGAATGAAACAATCTCTTCTACTTTCTTATACTCGGGCATATAACAATGGTAATACGCATTCAAGCCCAAGCAGAATCTTAACCTTCTCTGAAACATGAACACACACACACTGAGAATCTGGTTGTCAATGTACTTACAGGAAACAGTGGGGGTGGCTTCAACACAACATCAGGTAACTTTTCACCTTTGCCAAACCCAACAGCCTCAATATTAAAGGTATAGGCAGCACGTCCTCTTCCTTTATTCCCAGCCATTAAAACTAGTTACACCAGAGGAGCAGGCAAATGCTAGAAGACATGACAGAAGGTTAAGGTTTACCAGTCCCTATGAAAAAGGAAACCAACACTTTGAAGCAAAATATAAACTACTTTTTACATAGCATGGCCAACTGAAAATACACTTGGAAAGCAAAACATGGGTCTGTAATTTGCTAAGTCCCCCCTATTATTATGTTATCCTTCTTTTATTCTTTAAAATAAAAAA